TGATAGATTTAAAATCTTGTAGCCTTAGATGAGTCCAATCATAACGTGCCTGTGGAAGAACGGCCATCTTCAGGTGATCATATCGATCTTTCAAATTATTCCACAGTATGACTGGATCTTTAATAGTGAGATATTCCATTTTCAGACCCTCATCAAGGTGATGGCGTAGGAATATTATTGCTTTGGCATGGTCTTGGTTTGATGCCTGATTTTTATCCTTGATGGTGTCTGCCAGACCCATCGCATCAAGATGAATTTCAGCATCAAGCACCCAAGACATGTAGCTTTTGCCCGATATATCCAGGGCTACAAATTCAAGTTTAGAAAGATTTGACATTATTTAGGAAAAGAAAGTTCTTACCTCTAATACTTTCAAAGTATTTGCTCGAGATGTCAGAGTCTCGTGCTGATAACGTGTTATAAAATAAAGACTGTAAAGTAAAGACAAGTATAGAGAGAAATTGTTATATTATTCAAATTCAAACTAATGTACACAATGAACTGAAATCTCTTCTATTTATAGAAGAAAGGAAGCTGATGTGTAAGCTGCTACTATACCAGATATGGATAATCTTCTATTGAGAGNNGGTACTAAATAGATAAACATAATTACGGTGGAGTCCCATATGGATAAGCTTCTTCAAGAAACTTATTTACAACAGAGTGCTAAATGAACATCCATAATATAATATATTTATAACATGACAGTCTTTATTAACAGTCTCATTTTTACTACATTTATTTAAAAATATCAAGAAACTTAATATTCAGCGTCATTTCTTGCAAGAGTCGGTAAATAAGTGTCATCGTAGATCTGATTTCTTGTAAGATATAACTACTCTACGAGGATCGAGATTTGAAGAAGACATGGTTGTGTAAGAAAATAATACAAGCTGATGAACAAAAACTATTATGGAAGATGAATACTGTAGATTGAAGGTTTTCATGAAAGCAAAGGCATAAGGAGGTATTTATAACAAGAGGCAATTGTCATAAAAAGTGAATCATGATGGAAACATCATAATGAAGTAGTCACTGCATGACAGACGCAACCGTAAAAAAGCCCTAAAAACACTGAAGAGTCGTAAACCCAATCGACGAAGGCCACGTGGCACATGCATTAAATGGAAGTGACATGCGGAGAAGACATAATGATACATGGGAAACAACAACAAAAATTCCCGCCGTAAACACATACCACTTCCTAAATATTCAATTGTTGAATAATTGGCAAGTGGGGGGACTATCTGTCTTGCTAAAAATAAATATTACACGTGGAATTAAATATGTGGCTGATATGGCAAGACATGTGGATTACTAGAAAAACGACAACTAGAGAGATGCACTGAAAGAGACACGAGTCGTAACAGATACGAGCAAATCACCCACGAGAGGAAAAGATATGGTCACTCAAGTCTAAACGGTTACATGAAGAGGTACTGGTAGAATTAATCACGACAGTAAAAAGGAAAGATTCATGAATCATCAATTAATGAGCGTGAATGATCTCAAACGTTACAAAATCCTCATGAACAGTTATGATTACCAATTATAACGTCTCATTAATATCATTAATGCTCATAATGATCCGGTTATAAAAGGGGAAAGACGTTGTACTTTTAAATTCCTATATAAGGGAAAGAAATATGATTTGTACAGACACATTCTGATTATTATTGGAATACAATTATTTTCTTTTGCTTTTTATTGATTACTTTGTTATTTCATTTCCTTTCTTATCACTAAGAAAATATATAATTTCTTGATAATTAGTAGTCCGAATACTTCTAAAAATAAGCTTTTGATCGAAGTACATAATTTTTGGTTAAACAAGTATGCCCGATACTTCTTTTCCATATGTGTTCTTTGTAAGTATCGGTTCGTTTGCTCTCTTATTAGGATTCCTAATCTCAACACGATTACAGAAATTAAAAGTGACTAGTTATGAATTTATTCCAATGCGGATATCGAGATGGAAAATCAATAAAAGAAAATAGGAATAATAATGAAATAAGAAAAAGCAATTTGAACAGAGAAAGATCAACTCCAAATTTGGAGGGCCAAATATGCAATTTTTAGTGACATATATTTATGAGAAAAGTTGGACCGGAAAAATATACTAAACAGATCCGGAGTAATTCTGTGATATGATAAGCAAGAATATACAATTCTAAACTTAACTTTTGCCTCACTAAAAGAGGAAAAGAGGATACTCTAATTACTTTATTTAAATCCTTTATTACTAATGAATGCCCCACATTATTAGTAAGAGACCCTACTTTAATTTTGCTTTGCGTGTTCTTTTAGAACAAGGAGGAGCCAAATTTAGATCTGTTGCATCTTGGGGCACACACCTGAGATCCTAACCAATATTTTCACCAGTATTTAGTATTTACTCACACCTTAATCTAAACCAAATCCTGATATTAACCGTCAGATAAGATGTTTCCCGTTCCTTCATTAAAATCTACGGTCTAAATTCAAGCTTTCATTATCCCGTAGAGCAGCTGATGATAACACTAAAGTAGAATACCATCATTGCCTATAATGGTCGGTAGGTCACAGCAGATAGTGGGCCCTAATTGTTGTACACGTGTCATAAGTACAATTCTTATCCTTCCACATGTGCCACGTGTCCAGAAAAACCACCACTTTGTTAATCAATAGTAGTACTGGGTACTAATCAAATACTCCAATTTAAATTAAACCTTTTCTGATTACTGAGGAAAAGTTGCGGTTTAAAATCGGTTACAGGCTTACAGCTGGCAGCCGTCAGAGCAACACGTTCACAAAATGTCGAAGCTTTCTCTCTCATCCTCGTCTCCTCCTCCGTTGACGTCGTCTTCTTCCACTTCGCAGCAGCGGCGGAGTTGCTTCCGTCGTTCATTCAGAGTCGGCGCGTGTGTTTCACTTTCTTCGGTTTCCATTTCGTGTTCGAAGCAGCCGAAAGTTGTTGTCACCAGAGAACGCGGCAAGAACGGCAAGCTCATGAATTCTCTGGTACTCAATAAGAATTTCAACTTTCCGGTTATATGCTTTTTTTTTTTTTCCTTTTTAGTTTTAATTTGGTTCTCATGAATAATGTTGAAGTTCTAGGGTTAGTGATTGTTGCGAGATATAATTTTTTTGCGTAGACTATGTTTTTGTATGTTTTCCGTAGCTACATTGGGATAAAGGAAGTGACACATTAGATGTTTGATCAAATGCTTAAACAAATTAAACTGTTTAGCTGCCGATCACTTGCATTTCTAGGATGAGTACGATAGAGTGGTGAAAGGAAACAGTGAACTGCAAATTAGCCTGTCGAAAAGAAAAAAACTGCAAATTAGTCTAAAAATCAAGAGGAGTTTGGTTTAGCGGTTCCATGAGGGACTAGGCATAGCTTAGAAGAGAGTGTGTTCGTACACTTGATTCAACAAAGTCATCGGAAGGATGTGGTGAAGAGCATAGAATCATGTGCAGAGCATAGAGCATAGAATCGGAAGGATGCGTTCTGGATTTACAATTTGGTGTGTTTGGTATGAAGGAAATATTCTTCAAAGAATTTGAAGAATAAGTCATTTTCTGGTGTTTTCTTGCCAGAAAGAGGCGTAATTTCAGCTCCTTACTTCATATCAATGCTTCAATATTACTTAGACATTATTATCAATCTTTAATATTCAGAAATTTCATAAAGCATTATCCAATTTGATAGCACTATTATCAATCTTTACAAATATTTTTTGCAGAAGATATTTTCCACACTACCAAACACAGGAAAGTATTTTCCAGAAAATGACTTAATTTCGGAAAATGCTTTTCTGCCATACCAGACACACATGTTCATGAATGGCCTGCAATATCTTTTTGTTTGCTTTCTATTTGGGAAAAAGAAAAGGCAAATGAGTGATAGAAATTTCAAAAGAATTTCTCGAATCACGTGGTTATCTCCTCGTGAGATTGATAGAAATGATTTAAATGAAGTAGAAAAACAATGTATCCATAAAAAGCATTTAAGAAATCGTCATGAGCGAGAGAAGGTGGGGCAAACAACTTTTTAATCAGACCAAATTTCTAACACCAAAGGTCATGGTGATCTAGACTTGATATATGTGGGGCAAACGACTTTTTAGCATGGATGTCTCTCTAGGAAGTAGTAAATGTAGTGTCTTCAATAATTATGTTTTCCCTCCTTTCTTGATTACAGGCCAGACATGGAATTGATTGTCTTGAGCTTCCTCTCATTCAGCACATGCATTTACCTGATCTAGGCAGGCTCACTTCTGTATTAAGTGGTAGGTTTCTTGCTATCTGTGCATTGGCTTGAAAATCTTTGTTCATACTTACTTGCCCAAGATTAAGCGTTGAGCATCAATGTAATTTTTTTTTTCTATGGCATTTTCTATTTCCCTTCATTGCACAAATTGGAGCTAATATCTACTATTGGCTTTGATTTGTTTTAGAAAATATTCTATCTGCAGGAAATCTGTTTTGAAGGTTAGATTGGTGCCCTAGAAGTCTGAAATTATAATGTTAAACAGAGTAAATTGATGTTCTTTTCTTAGAATATAAATTTTCTAGAGCTCTCAAGGTCAAATGACATTTCTTAGGATCCTGCATGATTATCCTTTATTGAATGTGCAAAACCGAAACTTTCTAAGAACTAATATTTTTTTTTATGGATTGCGGCGGGTCTTTTTTTTTTNTTATGGACTTGGGCAATGTTTTGAGATGACATTTTTGGAATAACAACATATTACGCCTTCAAACACAAAATTAAGTGAAGCCATTGATTTAAGATATTACCGTAGGCTATAGCAATTGTAAGCAGACAAGCTAAGTTGCACTTCCATTACTTTATTGCTATTGCTGTTATAAGTACTAATCAAACTGCCATTGCTATATTACCCAAGGCTATAGATATTGTACACTTAAGATTAGGCCCATTTGGTACTTCCACGAATTACTTTATTATTATTTCCATTGCTGAAACTAGTACTACCGTTCACTACTTCCTCTCATTTGTGAAATTCACGAATGCAACAAATGAGTATGAACACAAGCTTGAGTGAGATCATTTAAAAAACAAAAAACAAGCTTGATTGCGGCAGCAGCCACGGTACGCATTGCATGAAACCTACCTTCCCTCCTTGAGACTATACGAAGTTCTAATTTTTCAGTTATACCTAGGTTTCTAAAAGTTGGGGTGGGTTTTATTTCCTTCTCATTAACAAGCTATACTCTTTAGTTACTAAATAAATTATGCTAGATGATAAATAAGAAGAACATTTATGCTTCAGGAAAAATGACATATTTAGGCTTAATAGAAAAGAAATCTCAATAAACATGAACAACATATAAGACAAGTGAAAAGGAATGTTGCTCTTTAATATCTCTCAAATGGCCCCAAAAAAGTAGCAAAAACGTTGAATAATATTTCTCTCACTTGCATGGGTATCTTGCATACCTCTGCGCATCCATTATAAATTACTATTGATTGGTGTTCGATTATAATTCATAGCGAACTATATCAGCAAACTTTATGACTGTGAAGTCCTCATTTCACATATGTCCTCTGGCGTCTTGAGTGGCACTAATGTTCTTTCTCCTTTCTTCTTGTGATAGCAGACGCCACGTTTGACTGGATTATCATTACTTCACCAGAGGCGGGAAAGGTTTTTCTTGATGCTTGGAAGTAAGGGCTAGGTTGAAATTTTCCATTAAGGAGGGTTAATCTTGTCTTAAGTTCTTCACCTTGTGATGTTGAATAACTAATTTATCCTTTTGACAAGTCTTTAATACCGTTCCTCTGTTGGGTAAAATCTCTGTGAAGTTTGCTTTAAAAGTATAAAAATGTTGACAAGACCTGATGTTAATTTGAGTCATTTAGTGTTTGACTTGTTTGTAAAACTAAAGTCATTGAAGTGTTTGAATATGTTGCTGCTTGCTTGTGTAGACAAATTGTTGTTATTTTTTTGTTTTTTTAAATTTTGAGCAGCTCTTTTTTAATTATTCTTTCAGAAAGTTTTAGAATCTTATCTACTTGTTGAAGATGTTTCGTTGGACTCCGTAGCTAAGATGCAAATACTTCCTATATGTTATGGTTGGTTGTTCTCATATTAAGTCTTGATTATCCCCTTAATTGATATGTAGCTTTATGTGACACAGTTTTAGTATGAACCTTCCATCCATTGTGGACGTATTCCTTGAAGAAGAATAGAAGCTTGTATAAAAGATTCTCAGTAGATTGATTGTCAGCAGACACAATTAGCAAAAAATCATTAGTGTCTACCGTAATGTGCACTTATGTTGTCAGGTGAAGTTTTTTGACTAAAATGGTACAAAAATTTGGTTCCCAGAAAAGATGATTGTGTACTATCTATGCTTTCCATTACAGTTAATTTCTTGATAGAAGCCTCAAATTCTTTAAGCTGCCTAAATGATCTATATTTGCTTTTGTGCTATCTGGTTCCCTCATGTTTCTAATTTGCTACTTAGAGCTGCTGGGACCCCATCTGTCCGAGTAGGTGTCGTTGGACCTGGTACAGCTAGCATATTCGATGAAGCTGTTCAGTCTTCAAAGCAGTATCTTGATGTGGCATTTACACCATCAAAGGGTATCGAGTCAATTTTTCACTTTTTCTTTTGACATTTAAAACATTGCATACGCCACAAACATGTGCGTCGGGGCTGACACTTGTATTTGTCATTTCATTTAGACCCCTTGTATTTGCAGAAAGTGTCAAATGAAATTTGACTGATATTTTCTTTTTCGTCACTGACTGAAAACTTCTTTTTGATTGCATTTTCAGCAACTGGTAAGGTTTTAGCTTCAGAGCTTCCAAAGAATGGGAATGATAAGTGCACTGTTCTCTATCCTGCTTCAGCAAAAGCGGGCACTGACATTGGTGTGCATGATATTTCTCCTTCTCTTTATGTTTCTGTCTCTCCTCACTCTCCCATTCATCCAATTTTTTACAGAAATCTCTTTTTCTGTATGGAACTCTTAGTTTCTATGGAGGTGTCTTTTTCTATTTTCAACCATTATCCGAAAGAGTTAAAAGGAAAAAAAAGGTAAGGAAAGGAATAACCACAAAAATCGTGGCTTCCCTTCCCTTTTACTTGCCGTAATTAGTACACAGATCAGGATTCATCTGATATCTGCAAGACTGCAACTGTCTCACTTTGATATTTCGTGTTTAGTATGGAAACTTTCCTCAGCATATGAAACTATGTGAAGTAATCTTAAACGACATACGGCTTTTTATTTCAGAGGAAGGACTTTCTGAGCGGGGATTCGAGGTTACTCGGTTGAACACATACACAACGGTACAATATTTCTTCATTGCATCATTGGAGAAAGATTCATTTTTACTCACGTGAGACTAGTGTGCTTGCAAATTTGGTTAACACGTACTTACCCTGAAGAGAGGGTAACTTGTCCTTTAGTTTTGATAAATGGTCAAAGTTTTAGCTATCCTCTTGGGTCCTTAAGTTGATCTAACCTAATTAGATCTCATCTTGTTGCGTATAATCTATGTCATTTCCTGCAGGCACCAGTCAATCAGGTTGATCAATATCTTCTTGAGCTGGCACTCTCTGCTCCTGTTGTTGCTGTAGCATCTCCCTCTGCCATCCGGTAGGACGCTCCAAAATTATTCATTTTTTATAGCAAAAGTTAAAGGATCATCTATTGATGTCTAATATTGGCATAAGCAAGCACTAGGATCTATAGCTAATGTTTGTAATTCCGCCAACATACTAGAGAATATTATACATAAATGTTTCCACATATTGTTCATTGAGCCAGGGGATAGAAATGCACCATGATGTTCTTCATCCTTCTCCTTTCTCATTTATTTTCATTTTGCTGAGTTATGTGACAGGGTATGGACTAATCTTATTCCAGCATCGAGTCAGTGGGACAATGCTGTTGCATGTATTGGGGAGACTACAGCTTCTGCAGCTAAAAGACTTGGGTTGAGAAATATATACTATCCAACAAGTCCTGGTCTTGAAGGGTAACTTATCGATTTTAATATCTTAATGTGTTCTTTTGTTGCATCTTTTCTCCCTTTCTGTTTGTGTCCATAATTTTATAAGATACTTTGACTCTATCTTGTAAAGCCAATATGCAATTGTTATTTTTAGTGCCCATGTTTTCCCCGTGTAGTTGGTATGATCTCTTTCGCTTGGAAGTAACTATTCACTGCCTGTCTCTGTTAGGAATTGGCTGTGGGAAGAGAATAAAGCGTCAAATGAAAGAATATGTTGCATTCTGTTCCTTGTCTTTATTTTTTCGTTATGCTTTTTTCTTTCTTCAAAAGATTTCTAGTGTATATATTTTTTGTTTCTCCCTCCTAACCTGGGTTGTTTTTTATTTGAATTATACAGATAAACCAGTTAGAACCCTGAGGGGAACAGTTTTGCAGGAATTCAATTTCCATTAGTATTATATCAAAAACTGTGCATTAGGGCTATCTCTGAGCAATTTTAACCTTACTGTAACCAGCGAATATCGTTTGTTTGACCTTTTCGAAATTATGGAACTTTCTTTCAAAAGTTCACCTACAAAACACTTAAATAGTTCTATGATCCACCTTTTTATTCCTACCTATTACCACATTTTTCTTGCGTCTTCACGATTGCTCTATATTACGTCACAGTACTTAATTTAAGGGTAATTACTACTCCTACATTCTAGTGTTATCATCTTATTAAGTAACTTTTATTGAAGGGGTACATTTTATTAAGTAGCTTTTTAAAGGTAAGGCGCTGCTGCTATCTAGCCACTTCTTCGGTGCCCCTGATCTTGGCAATCTAAACTCCCGTTTGACTGGACCATTTTATGCTGAGTAAATTGGGTGATGTTGTGACTACCTCTCCTGCCCTAAGTTGCTCGGACACGGGTGTGGGTGTCCGACACGGGTGCGGATCTATAAGTCAGATCCTTCGAGATGTAAATTCTAAGATTCGGGAATACGGATCCTAGTACGGATACGGGTGCGGGGATCTGGCTAAAAATAACTAAAAAAAATAAAAATATAAAAATATCTCTAAATTATAAAAAAAATTGTGGAATACTTACGTATAGCTTGTAAAGTGTGGATTTCTTTTTTATTCTCAAGTTGTAGATAAGTAAATGTTTGATTTCCTAGACAAGGTATGCTATTTTCTTCAAATTTACCCTAGTTTTGGTTTTGATTTCAAGAATCAAATTGTATCTCGTCTCGAATTTTTCCGTCCGTCGTGGTCAAAGTACTCAAAATTGTTTGACCAGATTCGGTACGGATCTCATACGCACATCCTTACTAGTGTCGTGTCGACACGAGTGCGGCACCTAAACTGCCGTGTCGGAGTAACTTAGCTCCTGCCCATGGGATGGTTAACCCCAATGCCGTTGTTTCATTCAGTAACTTTTCTTGAACAGGGTATGCTTGTGTAATGGTGTCACCAGTATGTTAACCCTATGACAGTGGCAGGTTTTGTTGTCAAGATTGGCAACTCGTCCGAAAGAATTGTCTAAAATTCTAGTGTTTTGTTGAACTTCCTTATGAAGTTTTAGCCATTCAGTCAAGCGAAACTGCTATCTTCTTTTCTCTCAGACTGTCTGCGCCCTTTCTCACTGGATAACACTTCTCTACGAAGTAAGCGTTAAAAAAAAGCTAACTCTAACTACCTGAAGGATGTAGGAGGCAAGGGACTATGTATTGGTTTCCATTTTCCGTTCTGTGTTTGTAAGATTTGCTTAACTTTGATCTACTTGATGCTATGATCACATGGTGCAGGTGGGTGAGTAGCATTCTGGAAGCGTTAAGTGTAAATGAGCAAGTACAGAAGGTCTAAAGGCCGTGTAATGTGGCTTCTGGTAAATTCTTTTTCCAAAGTTCATATTTATTCATCACTGACTACAAATGCATAATAGACCAACATACAGACATGCAGACATGTTTAAAATGATTAATGTGCATGTCGCTCTGAAATAGTTTATGGGTTACCTACAAAAAATTGCTGTATCTTCAGATGGTGGGCTCAGAGAGCTCTGGTTCCACTCTGCGGTCATCTTTGCAATGGCAAAGCTGATTAAAAGCTTTCTATACTCGCAGCTTCAACGTGGTGCTGTATTTTGAAATATTTGAAGTATTTATGCATAGAAGCGTGGAGGGAGGTGTAGGATCTAATTGACACAGCATATGAGGAGACGTTGGGGAGACGTAAAGTTTTTGTTGTGCGGAGGTATTTACCCACTTGTCTAGCCAACATTTCTTGTGAGGTAAGGCTGTCTTCTGTGAGTAGGATCTTTTGTAATTGTTCCATATGTAGATATCCCTTTAATTTTCTCTTTAACATTTATTTGGCTTGATATCTGATGTCTTCAGAATTGACTATAAAGCGAGCCCCTCTTGGTTCATACTCCAACCTAAATTTCCTCAAAAGAGAAACATCAAACCTTGAGCTAGATATATTTATCTCAATTTTAGCCATTCCTCGTAATGCACAATGTGTTGATTTTTGTAATCGTTTACTTCAAGTACTCGAGTCTTGTGCTCCATTTGTAAATATCTGCATGGATTACTCTGGCAGTTTGTAATATTTCAGTGTATTATTCCAAGGAATCAACTGAAAAGTACGGTAACATAACAGCTCTATGGAGGGCTCTCTCATCCAAACATCTGCAGAGATTACCATCTTATGCTGTAGATGCCGAGTTCTTTACGGTTCAATCATAGAGGTGTGTGAGACTCTTGTTCCGGTGAATACCGCCTATATCTCGTGATTGCTTTGTAGGTTGGCGTTCGTAGTAGTTTTTATTCAGTCTGCTTTTTATGGTTTTGCGTGACATGTTTTTTTCCATGAGTATATTAAGTTTCCTCACGCCAGTAGTTAGATGGTAATTGGGAAAAGTATTGCGGGACTAGAAGTCTAGAAGTAAACCAACCAAAATATCCACTTGCTGTTATAAAATAATGTTTTTGGGTCCATTTGTATTTTGTATTATCCTGCATTGAAGACAGGGAGAACCTGCCTTATAATCATGGTGAATGCACGCTCTAATATAAATTTAACAGTAGTGTCTTATCACTTGGTACCTCTTCAATAGAATACCGTGGGCGCCATTGTGTTCATGGGATATGAGGCTGTCACCGAAGCTCTTTCATCTGTATCTCCAATGTGATTGTTTCTTCCACGTCCTCATTGCGTCATTCTTATGTGTTTAGATACATATGGCAGTGGAAATTGGCATGCCTTGTCTGTGGAAACCAAATATATGGTTTAGTATTAAAATGTCACTTGGAGATAAACATTGTTTAATCTATGAACAATAAAAACCAAATATATATATAAAATTAACAATAAGTTATTTAATCTATGGACAATAAAACTCTTAATTAAGTATTGGTCATCCAATTCTACTTTTTATTTTCTTATTAGTTTCCAATTTAAAGTTATTCTACTTACTTTTCCAGCTAATGAATGACAGTAACAATTCATAAGGTAAATAATCTGCGCCTCAATCTCAAACTAATTTGAGTTGGATGTACGTATCTTTGGTGAGTTCTTTTCCTGTTCTTTTTATTCCATTACATTAGCATTCGTCCTAAGAAAGGTATGTTTTTTCTTTTCTTTCCGAAATTAGAAGCCTTTCACATTCTTCCTTCTACGTTGATATGTGGATCACCGGCACTGAACTAAAAAAAACTGAAGCCTAACGGGAAACATGAGATACGATGTAAGTATAACAGCATTATTAAAGCCTTAAACCCAACAGTGACAGCTTTAATGTTCATGATAAAATGAGCAGTACTGTCGTGGAAGATGATGTAAGCGGGCTGCGACGTAATAACCAGCATAACTCTCGCTGACCCTCTGTGTTTGTAGTGGATGGAGGCGAATTAAGATTTTAAATTAGTTGGTACTATAGCTAAACTATCCTTATTTTTTACTAATTAGTTTACAAATACCCTCTATCCATCTATTCATCCAAAAAAAGCACACAGCGTTATTTATATACCTAAAATTATTCCTTCTTTTAACGGCAACAGACGTGGGCCCCACTTTTAATGCGTTGGCAATATTTTATTGGGCCACGTGGCTCTAGTTTCACTTCCTACATATGGGTATAATATACCCATCCCATTTGTTTGACCCGCCCCATTATTCTTTTTCTCTTTACTATTTTTCTCTTTCTTTCTTACCACCTTGACTGGACGGGGATTTATGACCGGAAATCGTAAACCAAAAAACTCGCCAAAGACCTCGCTTGACTTGGTTACTTGAAAAACAACTCAAAAAATCAATCACCAGTGATGAAGAAAGTGAGTTCTCGGATCTTGTTTTGAAGAAAGTCGAGGGTTTGGTGTTGGCAGTTGTGCGTTTTTGGGTGTTGTTGTGGCTGTTTCGCTGGAGGAAACTGGCTGGATTTGGTGATGGTTATGGAGATGCTTTAATTACTGTTTTTTCTGGGTATCAAAAGGCTAAGATCTGGAGAAAATTGATGGTTACATGGCTAAAATGGGGTGGTGTTTTGGAGTTGTTGCACAGTAGCAGATGATAAGCGTCGAATCCCTAAATACTTCGATTTCTTATATTCCCAGGGTCAAGGCAGTCTTTAATCCATGGATACATGCTTCATCTTCTGTGGTATTCTTAGTTCCTTAAAAGTTCCGCTTAATGGCAATGGGGGTGTGCGATTCATCAGGTGCAATCAGCAATGCCCCTACTCCGTACCCATTTTGATTAGTCGTGCCATCAATTTGGGTGTTTTTCGGTGGTATTGTGGCTGTTTTTGAGTAGAAAAGGATTATTTTTTGGGCTGATTTTTGGGTAGGAGGAAAGGGTAGGATGAAGGCTGTAGGATAAGAGGGATTGTGCGGCGGTAATAGTGGAGATGATTTGTAAAGTGAAAAATGAGATTAGTGAACTGAAAATAGTAAGGAAGGAGAGCGGATTGAAGGAAGGTGCCATTGTTATTGATTTTCTTTTAAGGCAGGTAGAAGAAGAAAAGTTTGGGGGGGGGNGGGTCAAACAAATGGGGCGAGTGTATTATACCCATATGTGTGAAGTGAAATCAGGAGTCACGTGGCCCAATAAAATGTTGCCAACGCATTAAAAGTGGGGCTCACATCTTTTGCCGTTATAAGGAGGGGTAGTTGTAGGTATATAAATAAAGTTGTGCTCCTTCAGACGAATAGATGGATGAAGGGTATTTGTAAACTATCTAATAAATAATAGGGGTAGTTTAAGCCCTTTTGCGTATATATAGAGTCAAAATTGAGGGTGAAAAATAGTGGTCGGTATAGACTGTTATTCCTGTGTTTGGCATGACAAGTTGAGTCTTAATAACGAGAATATCGGGGTCTTGTCAAAGTCTATTCATTGATTGAATCATTTCTGTTGTCTGTTTCACGCTCTTGTTTTGGATGTGTGGAGGCGACTCCCGTTTCTACCATGCAATCATTGTACAGGAATTCGGCTTGTATATACGGGTGTAGCAATCACAATATGGAGAGGTGGAAACCACCTGAGCTCTAATCCTCTTGCATATGCTAATAGGGAGTTTAGGTATCCGTGGCGGCCATATATATAAACCTGTCAATTTATTTAGTGTGAGAACTCTTGCTGAAAATATTTAAAAAAACGATGCTTACTGTAGCCCAAGTCTTATACTCCATATGGGGAGGCTCAAGAGATTGAGTCAGGTTTTAAAGTTTAGGGAATTTAAATTTGTCTCTGAACTCATGATAGCTCGTTTTGTTTACGAGGTTCATAATTAAATATTTTATACATAATAAATTTTTCAAGATAGGATCTAAGCCAGAATAAATAGGAAGTGAAGTAAATGCTTTACCTCTAGGAAGCTTTCCACTGTGAAAAAAAAGAGGACGCGAGGCTGGAGTTTGGTTGATAACGTGACAACAGAATGCCCATACTTCCCCAAACAAGTGAAGTAAATCTAATATTGTTTGTTGCTATGCAGATAAAGCAAATATGAAGTCTTCCATTATAATTAGCTTTACTTGAATGATACAGACAACACAAAAACGTTAAATGCAGACATTTTTATTTTCTGTTATGGAGAAATGAACACTTTATTGTAGCCTACTCCTCCTTAGGGGGAAGCTTTCCACTAAGAAAATAGTAGAAGAAAGCAAGGGCACGACTTGGCTGATACGTTGGAACAAAATGCCCTGCTCCTCTTATTGTCACCAATGTCAAGTTTTCATACTCCTCTACATATCCACCAACCTACACAAAATCAACACCATCATTTAGCGTCTTCACCATGTAACAATAATCTGAGACGGATTCACAATTTAAAGTTTATGGTTGATTGTGCTAACTGTTTAGCTACTAATAAATGAGCCTTCGTTGTTCACCCGACCCTATCACTAACAACCGATCCCACAAAATGCAAAAAAAAAAAGGACAGTTGGTGCATTAAGCTCCCGCTATGTGGGGGACCAAGGAAGGACCGGACCACAAGAGTCTATTGTATGCAATTCTACCTTGTATTTCTTCAAGAGGTTGTTCCACACAGATACAGACCCATGTGTATGGGTGAGGGGTCACCGGACCCCGTAAACTTTCGGATAAAATCATGTATATATATACGTATATACCTTGAAAATGGTTAATTTAAATCAGTTGGCACCCTGAACACTAAAAGCCTTTAGGGGGTTGAGTAGAATAATATGCCCCCGTCGTGTAAAAATTCTGGGTCCGCCTCTGGTTCCACAGCTCAAACACGTGACCTTCTGGTCACATGGCGTAATTTTACCGATTATACCAAAGCTCCCTTCCTCCAAATGCAAGTAAGTGAAAATGAAAAAACAAATTTAACAAATTTTTTTCTTTTTAATGATGAGCATCTACCTCTTCCTGGAAATACCAAGGGTACCAGGCTGTCCTGATTGGTAACTTTAGCTTCTTTATAGCATACCTCGTATCTGTCACTGGCACTACAACATCCATGTCACCACTGCAAAGAGTATTGTCATTTGTTCGAGCTTGTTAAAATTCCCTTTTATATATCATTATGTTATCTTGAAATTTTGTGGATTTTTTTCCATAAATCTTACCTATATAGCCAGATTCTTAAGCCACTCTTCATCAACTGACGTACAAGTGGCAAAACTGTCAATGGTCTATCTTTCCAGCTGAGATTAAGCGTGTTACTGTTCTCAATAAAAGAAAATTTTTGATATAATGTTAGAACTATGCTTAGAAATATAGATAATAGGAAGAAAAAAGTGTTTTCACTAAATCAAGAGTGTTATACTTGCAGCTTTGCCATGGATAGGGAAGACTTGTAACGTTTGCATGGATAGCCTTTTGAACTTCTGGTTTGCTAAAATAGGACTGAATATAAACTGGCATGCAAGGATCAACTTCTGAGGTCTATTCCAAAAAAAAAAAAAAAGACCAAACAATTTGA